ATAGAAATACAAAGAGCAATTCACCATGCTAACCCAACAACTTTACAAGAATTTTGGGAAGCAGGAGAAAGAGCATTTCAAGCAGAAAGACGTATAATGTTACAAAGTGGAAAAATCAACTTTGGAAAATTAGCTAACATCAAAGTAACTAAAGTAAATAATACAAAATTTAATAAAAAAGAATGATTTCAAAAGAAAGTTTCAATAAAAAATATTGATACTTTACAAAGTGACAAACCTAAAGAAAACTGTTTTAAATGTGGAAAACCAGGACATTTTGCCAGAAATTGCTACTCAAATACTAAAAAAGACTCCTTTAACAACATAAATAATTAGAAACTCAAAAAGAAAAGATTTTGCTTACAATGTAGAAAACCATACCCAAAACATCACCCGGGATGTACTCAAAATAATAAAACACATATGAACAGAAAGAAAGTAGGAAGAAGAACAGTACCAATGGAAATAGAAAGGTTCAAGAAAGGAAACTTCTCAAAGAAACCTTATAATAAAGGGAAAGGAAAACCATATAAAGGAAAGTTCGCTAAAAAGAAATTTTGACATTTCGAAAGAAATGAAGAAGAAAGTGAAGAAGAATACTATTCAAAATCTGAAGAAGAAACTGAAGAAGAATCTGATAATAAAGAAGTTATAACTGCAAATAACCTTCATAAAGCCATTCAGAAGAAAGTTAATTCTTTCAAATAGGGAACTCACCTAGTGTTCGAGAGAAAACCCCAAAGAAACTTTCTAAAAGCTACACTAGAGAGAATATAAACACTATTAGTATTACCAAAATACAAAGTATTAATAACATCAAATGTATTAACTCTAAAATACTTAATAAAGATCCTATTATTTACCAAAAGTATCAAACGTTTTCTGCCAAATCTGCAAATAAAGAGATGATAAAGAAAGCATTTGAACAAAATGAGTACAACTATCTTTTTAAAACCTAAAATTTTCAAAAGAAGCAAAATGGCAAAATCTTAGACCAAAAGGAAAAAAGCAATACCAATTCATAGCATTATTAAATAACAAACCAATACTAGTATTACTAGACGAAGGAGCAAGTGCAAACGTCATAGGATCAGACATGGCAAAAGAATTAGAATTACTAGAAAAAATAAATATCACAAAGAAATCAACTGCTATACTACTAGGAGGACAAACAATAGAAAACCTTGGACAGTAAAAGCAATATTCCAAGTAGAAGATATAAAAGCAACGCTTAAAATATCAATTCTTGAAGGAGACCAAGCTTATATACTCCTATTAGAAGTAGATCAAGATAGATTAAATATCTCAAAGGATAGAAATAATAAAATAGCTCGAATAAATGGGAAACCAATATCATATCAAGATATTCCCCTGAACTAATCACAAGGGTTATCAGAGTTAAATCTTAACTCTGTTCCAAGAACCCCTTTTGCACCTTGAAAAAAGAAGAGCCTACCCTAGTATCACATGACAATAATATAAACACACCTACAACTGTCGCACCTAGTCACCTCGCTCGAAAGGCTAGGGATACACCCCTTAAAAGCAAGAAAAAATCCTGCAATGGCACTCAACATGGTGAACAAAAAATGATTTCCCATGACACAAAAGTGGCAAAGAGACACACGTTAGTTGCATCTCTCGCTAATGCTCGCAATGGCACCCAACATGGTCTGGAAAACAAACCCCCAGCCACTAGCAAGTCATATGCATTGGCCACTAATGCTCAAGATGGCATCCAATGTAGTGAACAAAATAAATTTAAGCTCAGATTGGACAAAAAATCTAATAGATCAACTAAAGAAAAAAAAAAAAAAGCCTCCAAAAATACTAAAATTAACAAGAAAATATTAAAAGAATATTTATATGCTATTAAAAAGTATTCATAGCGAAAACCTAAAGAAAATATCTGAAAACTATCAACAGGAAACTCCAACACTAACCAAATCAATTGGGTAACTAAAAAATATAAACCCAAAGAAAATCAAAAGTTTATCAAAAGTATATTATCTCAAACTTTTGAAGAGCAAATTAGAGAATTAAAATGACAAGTTTCTTTAAATAAGCAACAAAAGAAACTTATAGGAGTAACAACAGATGGAATATGGACAGAAATAGTATCTATAGCTATATTGATGCAATTAAATATCCTTCAGATATTCTTAAAATATCAAGTATCAGAAGATACTCCAAAATATGAAGCATTGAAAATGGCAATGTATTGATAAAAAAGCAGACAGAGATATAATAGAGTGAAATAGAAACATAGGATTAAAAATGGTACTACATACAATACTTGGACTATATATTAATGATCAACTATATAGAGACAATAAAGTAAACTAGAAAATAAAAAGAATCATAGAAGAATGTGCACGTGCTGAGGAAATGAATATAAGATGGGCAGTCCTACATTTAGGAACAAAAGATAAATGACAACGATCAGACATGATCAATAATGTCAACTATATATTAGAAAGAATACACCCAATGAAGATAGGAATCTTATTGGAGAATAGTGCATCTAACAACTGTTTTGGTGCAACAGTTGCTGACTTCATAGATATATTGGATAGTATTAAACAAGAGTTAAAATTTAAAGATAAGAAAAAAGAAAGAAAGCAAATAGGAATTTGCTTTGATACTCAGTATTTCTATGCTGCAGGATGTGAAAAAATGATATATGAATTCAGGAATGTACTATATATGTATGGACAAGAGATAATGTTAATACATATTAACAATAGTCCACCAGAATGTACATTTGGAAAAGGAATAGATATGCATGCACACTTAATAAATCCAACTAGCACTATACTACAAGAAGTCTATCAAATGATAGCTCAGCACAAAGAAGTTTGTGCAATGATATTAGAAACACTAAGTATAGAACAGCAAGATCAATTGGCACAAGTACAAGAAGTACAAAAACTCAGAGAATATGCAAATAATCTATTAGAAGAAGATTAGAAAAGAGAACAATGGTCTAATGAAATTGACCAACAGGAAAATTCAAGAAATATAATGCCTACTATAGGAACAGGTATAGGATTTAGAATAACCTATAAAGAACTTGAGATAGTAGATTTAGCAGAACAACTAGCAAGAATGACACTAGAACTAGCAAATAAAGAACCACAAGGACAAGATCAAAAACAGCTTAACAATAAAATACTTGAAGAAACAATTCAAACTATAAATCAGTTTGAAGAGGAAATATTCCCACAAGCGGAATCAAGCGATAGAAAAGGAAAATGAGTAAAAATACCAAGTAGATCACCAAGTAGATCTCCAACAATATAACCAAGAATAATAATAAGACAAAAGCTAACAAACTGGGAACAAATACTAAAAAGTAGGGATGATATTAAAGATCCAAAAATAGAAAAAAAATTTGAACAATTAAGAACAAAATTGTATCAAATTCAACATCATTACAACTATACTTCAGCACTAGATGATGATCAGTTAGAAGAAATATTAAAAATGAAAGAAAAAGTAACAGGTGTAACTTATAGAAAAGCTCATGAATCACAAAGAGAATATATATTTGATTTTCTAAATAAAATATCAAATAAAAATGATGTATCTATATTTGCATTAAGAGGAGCTATTAATGATATGCTCAAAGAATATGAAAGAGATACTAATCTAGCAATCACTATTACAAGTGACCAATTTAAAGCAATGCCAGAATGGGACCAAAGAGAAGTATTAATGAATTACTATTAGGAGCAAATAATGCACAAAATGAAAAAGCCAGAAAAGCAATACAAAATAAATATAGAGACTTGCTTGCAACACAATTAAAAACAAAAGGTCAAATGATAATTGAAGAAAATATTGAAATGCAATTATCAAAAAATCAGTCACAAATAAAAACTAAACCACCACCTCCAAGACTAGAATTACCCAAAACAGGATATAGAGAAGAACATCAATATCCTGGATCTCCAAGATCACCACCAAAATCACCAACAGAATCTGATAAATCATCAATTGATAGCAATGCTTCTAAAAGAAAAAAAAGGTGGATGCTATCAATAACTGAAAGGTTAAGACCTTTATCCCCCACAGGAGAATGGAAACAAGTGTTTGGAGGATCAGAATCCTCAAAACAACATACTCATAGCCCCAAACAACCATCAAGCTTAAGAAACTCTGTAGATTTTACAAATACTCCTGACATAGTATTACCAACATCAATTCAAAACAATCAGCAAATAAGAAATCCAAAATGACCTATAGATAGAAGTAATACTTCATCACTAGCATCATGGCATAAAAATCAAAAAATGTATACACCATTAGTAACAAATTATAAAAATGAAGACAAAGAATAAGAGATATTTCAAAATATTGAAAGAGCATTCAATCAAAATAATCAAGAACGAGAAGCTTACAATGAAGAAAACCAACAAAAACCAATAATATATGATTACTAAGTAAACCAAACTTATTACCTTCACGATCTTCTAGACCCTTTGCTTATGCAAAATTTAAAGAATCGGTAGAAAACGAACTACAACAAAGAAATGAAGGAATATGAGCACCTGCTGATGAAAGTGATGATGAAAGCTTAACTAAAGAACAACAAGAATTTCTAGAAGAAATGGATGAAGAAGTACAAGAATATATAAAAAATAATAATCTTCATATACGACTAAACCATATACACCCTATTAAAAGAAAGAAAATAATACCTACAGTATTATTAGATGCAAAAAAAGATGATCAGATATATAGTGTACAAAATATTGTATTATCAAAACATACAATATTATCAGTAAAAATAAGAAATCTAATAAAAAATGGATATATAGGAACCCAGAATATTTGGCCAAAAATGAAATAGCTATTCAACAGAGATAGCAAATGGAGACTATATATTAATAGCAAACTACTCAGAAAATGAAGTCCAAATAAGCAAAGATCAACATATTGGAAATGTTAAAATACTAGAAAAGTCGCCAAAATTTTTTCTTGATAAAATTGAGATTCCAAAAAAAAAAGAAATAGATTAGACAAATAAAAGGGAAGCTGTTAAAGAATGTATTGAAATCTTGAAAAAAAACCGTAAACCTGAAATATGGAAACAACTAGGTGACATATTAGAAAAATATATCAATTGCTTTAGAAAAAAACCTGAACCAGGGACTAGTGTAAAACCTAAGATAATTCCAAAAATAGAATTAAAATTAAAAATACCTAAAACTGAAATATCTGAAAAAGACAAATGATTGCAAGTTAGAAAATACTCTGAAAAAGAACTAAAAATCATAAAAACCCTATTAGACGATCTAGTAAAAAATAAAATTGTATACCTAGCACAATCTGAATGGGGAGCAAATATCTTAGTTATAACCAAGAAAGATGGCACAAAAAAAATAGCCATAGACTATAGAGGCCTAAATAAACATTTATGCCAATTTAAACAACCTTTACCTGATATACATCAAATACTGCAAAAAATAGCTACACATAAAATATATACAACAATAGATTTAAAATTAGCATATTGGCAACTCCTTATGTATGAAAATAGCAGAAAATATACTGCTAGCATATTTGGGAAATATGGCACTTATGAGTAGAATAATTTACCCTTTAGGATTAGTACTGCACTTGCATACTTAATAGCAGCAGAAAATAAATTATTATCTAAATTTGATTGGATTCTACTCTACATAGATGATTTGACTATTGTTGTGAACTCTATTGAAGAAATGAGAGAAAGATTAACAAGGACATTAATAGAGCTCGAAAAAGGGGGCCTGAAACTTAGACCCTCTAAATGCGAGTTCTGCATCAACAAAACAACAATACTCAATTATGAAATAGAATATGGAAAAATATAGAAAAATGCTTTAAAAAGCAAGGAAGTAGATAAATTCAAAACTCCAGCTTCTAAAAAAAAAGTACAACAATTCTTAGGATTTATGAACTACTTCAGACTATACATTTACGACTTTGAAAAAATAGCAGATCTACTTTATAAACTAACAGGAAATAAAGAGTTCCAATGGGATGATGAATGTACAAAAGCATTTGAACGACTTAAGGAAGAAATGAAAAAAGAATTAGCTCTATCATTTTTAGATCCAAAACAACCATTCTTTATGGAATGTGATACTTCACAAGAAGCCATAGCCGCAATCTTATATCAAAAAGATTTTAAATGGCAACATTATAAAAAAGTATCTAAACAAGAGATGCTTAAAGAGGAACTCAAGGACTATTCCAAACAAAACAAATCAGGAAGACACATAATAGAAATAGGCTCAGTAGGATTAAACGAATCATAATGCTGTTGGCCTAGTACACAAAGAGAACTATATGCGATATACGTATTTCTAGAAAAATAGAGACACTATATTGGAACACAACAAATACACATTTATACTGACTTAACAGGAATATCATCAACAAAATCAATGAAAAGTTGTACAAATCGTACAATGATGAATTGGATTTTACAATTGCAAGAGTATAACTATATAATACACAGGATAGTAGGCGCAGAAAACCATGCTGCAAACTACTTATCACAAGGAACAACTGATGAATTACAACAATTAGAAAAAGAAAAGAAATATTAAAAGAAGTAAAAAAGGAAGAGAAAGCTAAACTTCAAAAACAATTAATAAAAATTGAGAAAGCGAATAAAGAAAATGATTTCTTAAACGATCTAGCAAAAATAATTAAAGAAAAATAAAGACAAGAAATCAAAAAGAAACAAAAATAATTACTCTAATCATTATTACAATTACCAATTCTCCTCAGACCAATTAACACCGGAATAAACAGAGTCACTATAAAAATCACGAGATGATACAGAACTATCACTACAGCAACAATTATTAGAAGAAAGACCACAATGGTACCATGAATAAACTGCGAGCTGATTAAAAGAATCTTTCAAATATTCGCAAGAATCAAATTCCAGAGATTTGGAATACTCCAAATCAGTTCCATGGTCTAAAAAGGAAGCTAAAAAGGAATTAGTAAAATTCAATCAACATGCACCACTGACCAGAGCTGTGAGTTGGACACAGTTAGTCTACTAACTACTCCGGTATAGCAGTGCATGATAATCCAATAAGACTAATCCTTACCCTCAGAGGATTCCACTTGAAAATTTGATTTATTAAAATCATCATCTGGAAAAGACGAAGACTTATTGTAAAAATCGCAGCGAAAATTATCATCATTGATGAATCTGTGTGAAGAGCCATCAAAATACTCGGATGAAAATGAAAATTCTCCGGGACCACTTGGTAATGAGTCGAGAGAAATTCATTATATAATGAACCAATTTCCTCAACTCGCCCGTCACTCCAAAGAAACATTACAAAAGATTCAAGTACTTCATAACGAGACTCTGTGGCTTCCAAAAGAAATCGATAAAAATCCAACCGTTGATCATAACATTGACAACTATTATTAATGGATGACAAATCAATCCCGACGCCGGACGAAGACATAATAGATTACAAATTGGTTGATAAATACGTAACAAAAGATACTGTTTAACAAAAAAAAAAAAAAACTAAGTACTTAACATAATACGAAAAATAATAAACAACAAAAAAAAATAATAATAAAATAATAGTAATAATTTTCGAACCACGGTCACCCGGCCCCCCTCTTTACAACGTACGTACGTAAAAAAGCCCCAAATACAAATATAGTCCCGAAACACAAATATAGAAATTACCATATGAAATCACGGGAAAGGATTATCCATCCAATCAGATGCAAAAGAGACACACCGCTTAACTTGCCAGTAAACCATACGTACTCTTCGTTGCACTCCGTTCCCGGTACGTACGTACGTACATGAATGGCTGTGATTCAGGCTTTTACCGATACAGTTAAAAAAATTTATTTGGCGTTAGCGTAAATATACAACATGCATTTAGTTTCACAAGTTTAAATATAGGCACAATGTTCTCCGCTAACTCCGGATGATAAATGCGCCATTTTATTAAGTACATACGTACGTACGTACGTATGTTACTTTTTTGCCAAATACTGTAATTTATTATTCGTTTATGAACACAATAATTTGTTTTTAAAATGATATCTTTGCCAAATGAATATCTTTCTGAAATATTTAATAATCTTAAAAACCATTATAAATCCTTATTTTCATGTCTTCTTGTAAATCGACAATGGTGTAGAAATGCTGTTCGAATATTATGGAGAGAATCATTATTGTATTGTGAAGATATAAGAATTATAAGAATATACCTTTTATTATTGACTGATGAAGAAAAAGCTCCATTGGTCTCATTAAATATATTACCTTTAAATGGTCCAAAACCATTATTTGAATATACATATCATACTGAATGGATTAAATCCTATAAATTAGAAAAAGGAATCGTAAACTGGCTTTGCGGTGAGGGAAATGAACCTCACGACTTTGATGAATATTATGACATATATAAAAAATCCGAGAAGATGGTTCAAATAATTAAAGATTCGTTAGTTGCAATGTTATTACGAACAGGTGAAAAAATTAGGAATGTATATGCAGATAAAATAAACAACAATGTTGTAATGAAACTATTAAAAAGTGCTACTATTACTTTACTAGACCTTTCTCAAATTAAATTTAGTTTCGAAGAAATAAAAACACTAGCAAATGCTCTTTGTAAGAATACTTGTCTAACCTCATTAAGACTTTATAATTGTCGCCTCGGTCCTCAAGAAGCAAATGTACTAGCAGAGGCTCTTAGTAAAAATGGGTCGTTATTCTCCCTAAGTCTTCCAATTAATGAATTTGGTAATGAGGGAATAAAAGCAGTTGCGAAAGCACTTTACAAAAATACCACATTGACTTATTTGGATCTTACTTTTAATGACATTAATTTTGAAGGCGGAAAAGCACTCGCAGAGGCACTGTATAGGAACACTTCGTTGAAATATTTAGATCTTTATTCTAACAAACTAGGTTTTGAAGGAATAAAAGTGATAGTAGAGGCACTTTACAGGAACACTGTTTTAACTTATCTAAACATTGGAGATAACGAAATTGGTTTTGAAGGGGTAAAACTGATAGCAGAAGCTCTTAATAAAAACATAGCTTTAACCTCTTTAGACCTTAGTGAAAATCATCTTGGGACTAAAGAGGCAAAGATGTTATCAAAAGCTCTTTATAAAAACACTACACTAACTTCTTTGTTCCTTTACGATAATCAATTTGATTTTGAAGGAGAAGAAGCATTAATAGAAG